AAATAATCCGCGATATCTGCCGCTGCTGAAATTATCTTTTCCTCGGTGACCTTAAGAAATTCGGGTTGACGCGTTGGTTTGTCTCCACCAAGGGATCTTATTAAGTTCCAACTAGATTTAGAGTTCCCTTTATTATTCTGAAACGAAGCCTTGAAGTAGTTACGCTCTGTTCTTGTAATCATATTGGTGGCCTGATTTCGCGCGCCGCGATACCTTGCCCATGCGTCAGCGGTGTTACATGCCCTAGCTTTTCTCAGAAGGGTGTCTCTTTTCGACAGCTGATCTAAAATGTCCCTCTTTAACCGTCGCGGCTACCTAACTTTGCGATCCCGTTTGTGCATGATAGGTGCGTGTAGATCAACTGCCTGTGAAAATATATCTTCCCAAGCGACCAGAGAGTCATTTACATCATCAAACACGAAGGCGGTGTCCCAAGGGGAGTTGGCAAGAGTAGATTTGAATGCTTTGTCATCAATGCCTTTTATGTTTCGGTACTTAATTGCTTTGTGCTCTTGCCTGTCTTGTTTTGATTGTTTAAAATATTTCCGCACCGCAAAAGTTGGTAGATGGTCTGAAAAAGCATAACTTAGCACCAACACGTCCGTAATATTCTTGCTCCTATTTGCATAAATGTGATCCAAACAAGTTCCGCTCACAGGTCTTGTAACGGCAGTTATTAGCTGGTCAAAGTGCATGGTCTTTAATCCTTTCGTCAGAATGTGTTTTCTTGGGTTTCCTTCAATCATATTTATATTAAAGTCACCAGTTAGGATTATTTCCTTGCCACTTAAGTATGCTGTTTCAATACATTCTTCAAACGTCTTGTCATCTACTTTGGTACTTGACGGCGGGCGATAACAACCAGCAAACAACATAGATCGTTTGGATTTGTAGGGGTACAGCTCAAGCCACAAAATTTAAAATAAAAGTTAGAAAAGTTAGAAATATTACTTTCATATGACCGTTAAAAGCGCTAAGTATACACGTCGAATATGTGTGGGAAGACATTTAGGGGGGAGGGGGAGGGTTAACGAAATTTATCAATAGCTACGAGGGAAATACTTCAATAAAATAACATTTAAGGACGTTCGCGCAAAAATTTTCCGGTCGATAGATTTTTTGAAATTTTTACTGCATTTACATATTGAGTTACTCGTGTCAGAAGTGCAAAAAAAATGATGGTCACCGACTTCGTTTCAGAGATGAAGCGTTTGGAAAAGTACCATGATTTTGAAAAAAAATGGCGCACGTAATTCAGCATGGTCTACAGAGGTTTATAGTTAAAAATATCGAAGGCGAGTCAACGGAGACAAACGATCTTAGTCATATTTTGTAGAAGTGGGTCTGTTGTGTAAATCATTCCAAATGTTGCCAACTTTTTCACAGAACTTAACTCTCCAAGAGACATTTGAAACCGCCGCACAGGGTCAAAGGCTGGTAAAAGGTCCCGATGAGAGCTACTGTTCCCACTAGGTAGCTCTCGTAAGTGCCGAGAAATGCCTACCGTCTCAAAAAGGCTCTGCCAGCAAGTCGTATGTCACACCTCCACGGTTGGTGACCCTGGTAATACGATGTAGCTGAGTGACAATGGCGAAAGGCGAACTTCCAGCGCCTTTAAATATCTGGTACCCGTGGCTAGGGGAAGGACACCCCGACAGAAAATCCCTGGTCCTCCAGGTTGGGGGTTGGGCATGGGACCAATCACCCCATCCCGTAAAAGCAAGGTGATTACGGAAACCGGAAATTGATGTCAAGGCCACTCTTTTG